TCAGGCAACCACCAGTGGTGTTATTTGAGTAAATATGTTTAATTCCCTCCCCAATTTCAAATACCTGTTGAAATTACCAAAAGATTATTATCGTGGACAACTGGAAAACCTAGAAGAGTGCCATCTACTATTTGTATGCCAAGAATATGGTCTTCTGAAAGAATGAAGGCCAGACAAAACTGAGAGAAATCAAAGCAACCTGTGTTTCTCCTCAGATTCAGCACAATCATATCTGGAGGCTAAGGCATTTTGATCTAGGGATTCTACAAAGAGGAATAAATCTCTGTCTTTGAGGGACTCAAGAGAAAACACCACTTTTGGGATATAACCTAAAGTGGAGACTCAGTGTGTGGTATGCTATCACCAGCCAATGCTGCAGATGACATGCTGAGTCAAGTGGTAACAAGTATGGTCAGTTGGATAGGGGGGCCACTAAGAGAAGGGCAGTACAAAGATCCTGGTAAAGCCTCTTTTAACTATAATTGCCTCCCTGTGTCATGTAGGACAGTGAACCCCCTGTAATTATGCAACATTAATTTAATTTTGTGTCCCCTGATCTGTAAGTGCTCTTCCAGGCCCTTTGTGTAGCCAGCTACTTCAAATCTTAATTTGTTTTAGCTTAAATATCACCTCAGAGAGGCTAACCCATATTTAAAGCAGGCTTTCTATCTTATTCTGTATCAGTATTTACTTTGTTCATAGCACTTATTACAATTTGGAATTATTTAATTCATTAGTTTACTTGTTTTTTGTCTGTCTTTTCTACTGTATTATAATAGGCTCCATGAGAGAGGGAATCTTTTTTTTTTAAAGAGAGAGAGAGAGAATTTTTTAATATTTGTTTTTTAGTTTTTGGTGGACACAACATCTTTATTTTATTTTTATGTGGTGCTGAGGATCGAACCCAGCACCCCGTGCATGCCAGGCGAGCGCTCTACCACTTGAGCCACATCCCCAGCCCGAGAGTGGGAATCTTGTCTGACTTGTTCACTGATGTATCCTACCCAAATGTAAAATATAATAGGTATTCAATAATAAGTATAACTTTAAAAAAATATTGACAAGATATGTCATGCACAGCAAAGATAAAATTTTCATACACTTATGCATAGTGTTAAATACAAAAACAGTTAAAATTCAAGTAGAAATGGACAAAAACTACAATAATGGTAGGAAACTAATGTATATCTTTTAGTATTTGACATAGAAAATATAATTCATTCAGATAATAGAATTTAGCTTGATTTAATATTTATAATAGAATTCATTGTGAGAATACATTTTCAAATGTCTTTGGAAGTTTTTATTAAAATGAGAAAGAAAATTTATCATTGATATCAAGGAAATTTAAAAGTGTAAGTCAATATTCCTATGATTCTGTTCTTATATTACTTTTGTAAGAGGATAATTTCCTAAGGAAATGAAAATAATGAAATTGACTCATGGATAAGAAGAAGTAAAAAGTTAAAGAACTATACCCCTCCAAAAAGTAGACTCAGAATTGAATTGATGAATTTTCTTGAAACTTAATGGATAAAATAATTATTATACTGTTTAAACCATCTCACTATAGAAAAGATAGGAATCTTCCTAGATCATTCTACGAAGCAAGTATAACTCCCATGCCAAAATCTATAGGTACAGCAAATAAAACTACAGATACACTTAAGAATGTTGATCCACCCTGGCATGGTGGTGTATGCCTGTAATCCCAGCAGCTTGGGAGGCTAAGGCAGGAGAATCGTGAGTTCAAAGCCAGCCTCAGCAAAAGTGAGGCACTAAGCAACTCAGTGAGACCCTGTCTCTAAATAAAATGCATAATAGGGCTGGGGATGTGTCTCAGTGGTTGAGTGTCCCTGAGTTCAATCCCCAGTACTCCCTCAAAAAATGTTGATCCACAAAGCCTACAATAGCATTAGAACTTGTGGGCTTTATTTCAGGTATGCAACATTATTTTAATATTGGAAAATATTAATATTTAACAGTTGATATACAAGAAGAAATATGGTCATGGAAATAAATAATGAAATCATTTGATAAAATCCTGCTTCTATTTTAGATTAAAACTGAAACAACAGAAAATTTGTAATAAATTATGATTAGATAAATACATCCTTTATTTAATAAAAGATATCTGTCTTAGGGCTGGGAATGTAGCTCAGTGGCGAGGGCACTTGCCTAGCATGTATGAAGCCTGAGTTTAATTCTCATTTCATATCTATCTATCTATCTATCTAAAGCTAGCATCCAACATTATACTTGATGAAAAACTAACATTCCTATTAAAGTCAAGAAAAACTAAGAATGCCTATCATTATAGTGGTTATTCACCATAGATTTAGAAGTAAGTTCTAAGTAGTGGAATGAAAGAATTAAAAGAACCATGTAAAACCACAAGAATGGGAAATTATATTCCATGTATGTATAATATGTCAATATACACTCTACTGTCATGTATATCTAAAAAGAACAAATAAAAATTTTTAAAAATAACTATTAATATTGGAAAGAAAGGAGACAAAACTGTCTATACTTATGATAATATGATTGGCTATATGGAGTAAAACTGAAGAACAATAAAACTAATGAAAATAAATTTATGGGAGTAAGTAGGTAAGAAAATATAAGAACAAAATCAAATAACTCTCTTATGTACCAGAAATCAGCTATAAAATGTGGTGAATGGATAATATTTGTTAACAACAAAATATTTATGATACCTGAAAATAAATATAAGAAAGGCACAGGATATACATAAATGCAACTATAAACTTTTACCCAGTGATATAAAAAGAGACTTGAATAAAAGGAGAAACAAAACAATAATTAGGTGAGAAAACTTAGCAAACTACCACTTCTTTCCAAATGAATCTGCATTTAACTGAATTTATGCCTAGCATGGGACACACAGTAAATAGTTTTTTTTGAAAAAATGCTTAAACAAATGAATACAATCACAGTAAAAAACTAATTAGGATTTTTTTTTGACTTGACAAAATGGTTCTAATGTTCATCTAAAAATTCTTCAGAGTTCAGAATAAAATTTTGATAAAAAAGATTAATGAAATAATTGATAGTTAAGCTTATTAAAACAGAACAATAGAAGATCAATTTTCACTGGTATTGATGCATGAACACATAAATTAGTGGAATCATAAAATGTCAAGAAACGGGTCTATATAAAAACTTAGAATGTGATGATCTTATAAATAGAAATGATGGATTTAATTTTCTTCACTTTTTTTGGTTTTATTCAAGAATTCTAGACAGAAAAGTAGGTTTTTGTTCTATTTCTTTAGCAATTTTAGCTATTATGGCTACACAGTAGCACCAACATTTTTCTTCATAGTCTCTTAGATAACTTATTTCTATTTTTCTCTAGTCATAATAACCTATTATATATTTTATGAAGATCTGAAAGAGAGGCGTTTGAAGGCTCCAAACCTAAAGATATGGTGAAAGGGAAATACTCATTACCATGACCTGATTGTTGTGTGCTATATAAATTATTGAAATATCACACTATAGAAAATATTTACAATTAATACATGCTAATCAAAAATATAAAGGATGAATTTAATAAATAGTATTAGGAAAGCTTAAAATGTATCCCTAATTAATAATATATCCCAAAATGTATAACAAATGGATTAAATATTTTAATTTTAAAAGTGAAATGTTGAAGGAACCATTAGAGTGCAGAATGTCTTCCTAAACATGACCTGAAAAGCAGAAATAACAAAAAGATTGATAGATTTTAAGAAATAATAATGAGATTGATAGATTTGATTACAAACAAAACTTGAAATTTCAGAACCTCCCATACATCATAAATCATGTAACTGACTTCCTTGAAAAAATATTTGTAACTTGTGGCAGATTAAGACTTAAGTTCCCTATTACACAATCGAATGTATGAAAGATGTAAACTTTTAACTGATGACTAAAGGTGCAAATCAAAACAAAAGGCATTTTATTTTAATTTGGCCACCAAATTAGGAAATTACAAAAGACAGGATGGAAGAATATTGGTACTTTCTTGTACTACTTGTAGAATTATACTTTGGGGTAGCTTAGTTGGAGAGTAATTTGCATATGGTCAAGAGCCAATCAATAAGAATTTATGTTAAGAACTTTTTCATAAATATCTTCATATATATATAGCTCCAGTGATAATCTGCAAACCAGTGATAATCATTGCAGTGTTCCTTATAACAGCAATAAATTGCTAACAATCTAAATGTTTTTTCATAGGGAAATAGTTAACAGTTATAATTGAGCTTTATATTGAAATACTGGGGTATTATTTTTTTAATATTTATTTTTTTAGTTATAGGTGGACACAATACCTTCATTTTTATTTTTATGTGGTGCTGAGGATCGAACCCAGTGCCTCATGCATGGTAGGTAAGCGCTCTACCTCTGAGCCACAACCCCAGCCCCATGGGGTATTATTAAAGAGAATGATAGGTAATACTGAAATGGACAAACCTTTGCTAACCTTCTATTTTATAGGAGAGAATTGTGTAAATATGGCAAAAATGTTCTTTGAAATACTGAGAAAGGAGGATGAGGAAGATTTTATTGTACCTAAGACCTTAATTTTTATCATTATATAAGGAAGCCAACATATTTGCCAAGAATTTCTGTGATTTGTTCTGATTTAGTTGGAATATATACTTTTTCAATTTATAGGCCTTTAAATGTCAGTGTTGTTTGTCAGAGGGAAGTTCACTATTATAAATCATTTCACAGGGCAATAATAGAATTTGTCAGCCTAAAGTTTAAGCATTTGTAAATTGAATACTTTCTTAGTTTCATAGGAAAGGAGAACTATATTTTGATTATTAATACCTATGATACTGTGAGATTAAAATACAATATCTGTTAGCTATTTGACTTTCCATAATTAATTTCAGCAAAGATAATTGCTGTTAAAGGGTCATTGATAGTAATGAATGCTGTATATGCTGTGATTAATAATTTTAATTTTTCTAAAGGGTTCTCAGATTCTGTGACTGCAAATGAATTAATCCTATGGAAGAATAAAGATGCTGATGGCCAATCTTTGGAAGAAACATCCACTTGGAAAGCTCTGTTGATTTTTTTCTTTCCAACAAGTAAGTTCTTATTTGACCTTTTTGTCAATGTCCTTGTTTTGAAAACAGAAAATGGATCCTGCTCTGCCCTTTGCCTTAGGCAAGATAATCTCTCTGAATCTCAATATCCTCATCTTTAAAATGAAAATATTTACCACAAAGTCTTGTGAGGGTGAATCAAGACAATTATTTGTAAGGCATTACATAAAGGTTTGCTATTCTTCACAAAATATATTTCCTTCACGAATACCTAAAGCTTTCACAATTTACCTGAATAGCATTGCCAGAAATTTAGTCATTGACTCAGTATTGTGAAATTGATGTTGTCTGTGGCATTAAACAGAATATTGTGTGGCTTTGATGTTTTGAAGTATAACAGATGTTTTCCCATCTGTTTTAATGATAAAAAGTACAGGTTTCAAGTCACATCTTCTTTTTGTGATTCTGTATGTAATGTGTTTATCAAGCACATGATAACCCTTGAGAATTATTAACTACAAATAAACATGTTTCTTTTTGTATAACATGTGGTGCACTTTCAAGCAGAAGCTTCACATAAATTGACCTGTGTGAATTGCAAACATCAAGCTTTTATTAAGAATAGTGCAGAATTTATTCTAACAAAATTTGATGTATGTTTATGAGCACAAATTGATATCCACTGTTTAATTTCAGACCCTACCACCGAATTCTATGACCTTGCATAAATCTTTTCCTGTTTCCATATACTGCTTCCATTAAGTTCAAAATAGTCATTAAAATACCTACTATCAATGAGAATAGCAGAATAATTGAGTTCTTTAAAATAAATTAAAATACTGGAATGGTCAAATTGAGTGAAAAAATGAAAAACTGGGAAGGTGTTAATGTTATGTAGGCTAAAAGAATGTTTTACTGAGTGCCAAAGTTGGTCATAAATAACAAAAGACAATTTACACTTTAGAGCTTATGTAAACTGTCACATATTCATAATAGCTATAATATACAAACACTGAAACTATATTTTAAAAGTTATTTGCACTTCCCCCAAATTTCTCTTAACCTGATAAAATTAATTGAGATAAAATCATTTTTTATGGAATAATTTTTTCAACAAAATCAAATTGTTTCCTTTTTTAGAAGCATCTGATCTACACTGATTCAAATCTTGAGTGATTAAATATTTATAAAATGTACATATTATCTTGTTTGAAAAGAATAACTAAAAATAGCTAATGGAGAGCATTTTGAATGTTTCAACACAAAGAATTGATAAATGTTTAAAGTGATGGATATATCAGTTACCCTCATCTCATCAACACACACTGTATACATGTATCAAATATCACACCAGTACTCTATAAATATGTATAATTAATATGTGTCAGTTAAAAATAAAAAATAATAACTACATGTTCATAAAATGTGAACTATTTTAATCAATTTGTTTCCTCCTCTATGTAACTGGAGATAAACACTCTTACTGTTCAAGCATTAAAAATAGCCTTGTTTGCCATTGGGCTGTTGTTTGCAAAATATTCATCTTTTAAAGATTAAAATGATAACCTTGAGACAGACTGGTAAGGAAGCTTTAGAGGTCATCTGATCCTTCTTCCTCTTAGACAAAATTACATATTTAAAAGTGATAAAATAGCTTTACTCTTTCTTTAAAAGTTTGACACTGTTTGTCTTTGATATGCATTTTCAGTGTTACTTAGGATGTGAGGAAGCCATAAAAATTAAATATGTCTTAATAAGTGAGCAATACATTAGAGCAAAATTGCTCTGTTCTTTAAAATTACAAGTGTCTCTTATTTAGTCTGAAAGTTAATTTTAATATCTAGCAAAGTCCATCAGATGCAATTTAATTATAAAATAATAGAAGTTCAGCATTAGAAGGGACTTAGAGATTATCTAGTCCAGTATCTACTATGATTTAAACCCTCTTTTTAGCATTCCTGGAAAGTAGTATTTATACAATGCTAATAATGGTGAGAAACTCAGGATGAAGGCATTCTATCCCATCTCTAACTAGATCCTGACTGTTGTCACCCTTTCCTGGGTTTCTGACATTAGAACTCAGTGGGGTATTCCAGATGAAGTCCAACTTGGGGAGAGGAGAGTTATTGTGGGCCTAGCAGAACTGAAGATTGCTTAGAGTATATAACAGTAGGATAAACTTATATATCTAAAATGTCTAGAAAATGAATATCCAGGTCAATTGGTAATACATTAAGTTATTAACCTTGTAGAATTTACTGTGGTCCTTTATTTCCTTATTTTTAAAATGGAGATTATAAAACTTAGTTTGGGAATTTGTTGTGAAGTTTAGTAGTAAAGCAAGGTGTCTGTCCAAAGATGTGCTTAATGAATGGTATCCATTATTATTTTTATCTTAACTTCAGGAATTGCCAGTCTTTAAAGAAAAAGAATATAATAAAATGTATTGAGAGGTTAAAATATACTTAAAACAATTTAATTGTTCTTTACTGATGTTTTAGAATGATTATAAAATATTTGTTTTTTCTTTAAAGCCTGTAATAGTTGAACAAAAGATTGAACTGAATCTATTTTTGCCTTAAAACATACCTTAATGTATATATTAATGTATAATTTTGTTTGGTATATGTCTATTTATTTAATATATGTATAACATATTTAATATATGTCTGTTTAATTTATGTATTAATGTAAATCTTTGATGTATGTTTTTCTTTTTTTTGTTTTGTTTGGTATTAGGGATTGAACCCAGGGGTGCTTAACCACTAAGCCATATATCCAGCCCTTTTCACTTTTATTTTTTGCTTTTCTTTTTGAATAAAAATATGATGTTGGCTCTTTTAAGTTATTTCTTTTTTAATGTAGTATGTTGTTTTAAAAATTAGCTGTTTGAGCTTGAAAACTTTTAATTTTAGATATACATTATTTTTTTAAAAAATATTTATTCTTAAGTTTTAGGTGGACACAAAATCTTTATTTTACATTTTTTGTGGTGCTGAGGATCAAACCCAGTGCCTCGAGCATGCTAGGTGAGCGCTCTACCACTGAGCTACAACCCCAGCCCAGTACATGAATTTTTTTACAGTTGCATGGAACCTTGGTGTTTATGACCAAAACTGCTGCTTTTTTTAAAGTTATAGAATCATAACTTAAGGGTAAATGGAAGAATATTAAAATATATTATAGTGCCTGTATGATAAGTGTACACAAATGTTGGTCAATACCAGTGAAATCACTTACCTTACTCTTTCACAATAAAACATATGAATTTTACTTATTGATGCATTCAGTGAGTTACTGTAGCTTAGTAAAATTAAGTAAGAAGTTGTCTGTGACATTGTCTTAATGGAGTATTAACTTTAAGGGCATTTGGCTTGTGATTTAGATCATTATGTGTTATATTTTTATTACTACCACTCAGTTCATAATTTATATTTCCTTTTTTTTTCTCTTTGTTACTGGGGATTGAACCCAGGGGCACTTAACCACTGAGCCACCACCCTGGCTCTTTTAAAAATATTTTATTTAGAGAAAGGATCTCTCTGAATTGCTTAGGGACTTGCTAAGTTGCTGAGGCTGACCCTGAACTTACAATCCTCTTGCCTCAGCCTCCTTAGCCACTTGGATTACAGTTATACGCCACCATGACTGGTTTCCTATATTTTTTTTTAAAAACTGCCTTACCAATGATTTGTTGACAATTTGTATTTTTCTTCATTACATCTACAATTAGAAATGTGATGTTAGCTAGGAATGGTGGTACATGCCGGTGATCCCAGTGACTCAGGAGACTGAGGTAGGAGGATCTTAAGTTCAAGGCCAGCCTCAAAAACTGAAAGAGGCCCTGAGCAACTTAGTGAGACCCTGTCTCAAAATAAAAAAAAAAAAAAATTAAAGAGGACTGGGAATGTATTCAGTGGTAAAGTGCAGAGTTCCATCCCCAGTAGTAGTATAATAGTAGTAGTAGTAATGTGATGTTAAGTAACTCTGATAATTTTTCTTATTTTCTCGTTTAACTCTTATTTTTCAGCATTCATTTGTATTTGTATATGTCATCCAATTTTTCAAAATATACCAGCTTATGTTTTTCTTTTTCCTTTATTTAATTGTTTAAATGGGGAAAGTGCTTACTAACTATGTTGAATTCTCTTTTTTGTATTTCTGTATTTTTTCCAATCTTATTTCTGTATTTCTGTTTTGAAAAGCATGCATTGTAAAGGAGAATCAAGAAGTAAAGCCTTGTAAAGAACTGGAGAATCTTAATGAGACTGAATGTTTGAGATACAAGTGCTGTTTTTCATCATCAGGGATCAAGGACTTGAGTTGTTTTACCCCATTAACAGATAGTAAGTTCATCCCAATTCATTTATTTTATTTATGTTTTTAAATTGAATAAACATTTCACAATGGTGTAAGTTCACATTTGGATCTCCAAGCTTAACACTTGAAGAGACCTCCCAGCCCTAGAGCAATGCTGTCATTAAAAAGTCCTGAGGTAGTCAGGAGTATTCATGCACAGTTTCTGCTTAGCTCCTGGATGGTGACTATCACCATTCAAAATCAGTCTCATTTTTGCTTTTGCTTTAATCATTCTCTGCCTTTTGACTCAAGTGTTCTAGGCTCTATTATGCATAACACTCAATGCCTGGGAGATAGTACTGTAGGGGTAGAAAGGGGATGATACCTTTCATGCTCATCTTAAAGGGTCATGGATGATACCCCTGTAGCAAAAGACAGATTAATAAAAGAAAATCATAAAGAAGTTTATTTGATAATAGTTTTATGAGACACCGGAACCATCAGGTTAAAGATCCAAAGGTGCAGGGTGAGTGATACAATTTTATATTTACATTCCATGATGCATGGACAACCATGTAGAAATAAGTTGGACAAAAATAGTATGATCTAATTCTAACAAACTAGGTGGAGAAATCCAGTGAGTCCTGTTCATATTGTTCTTGATCTCTGTGCAGCATTTCTTCATCACCAGTATGGGGCAGGGCCCTTTCTGAAATTAGACAAATTAGGTCATAGAATTTCTTTATGGTTAACTCTAAGGAAGAAAGGTGGGGAAGATAAGAGTATTATTTTAGGCATATATCTTATTTTGGATAAAAGGAATTCTAGTTTCTATGACCTGTTTTAGGGAAGAGAAAGTGTAGTTTTTATGCCTTTTCTTTGAGAGAGGTTAAGTGGAGCAGGATATAGGAGCACAGGAAGAGGTCAGAAAGAAACTCTGCTTCTGAGTCCTTTATTTTGGTTTATCATTTTCTGAGTCCCAACAATATCAATTGGCATGCCTTACCTTTCCTTTTCCTAGCTTTTTTTTCCTGAGTAGAATTTTTCCCATTTATGTTGTTTTCAATATCTCAGCATGAAGCAGTAGACTCAAATGTTTCTTGTTAAGGTATGTTTATTAGCTTTTCTTTGTTCTATTGTTTTTGAGTTATGTTCTTAATTTTTTTTTCTAAAGTTTTGAGAGCTAGACCATCTGTTTTTATTACCTTTACTTGGATAGTGGGGACATATTATCAGTTGGTCCCATGATGAATGGATTTGATGTGATGGAATACTAACAAGCACTATGAAAAGGATGCATGCAAAACAATAACTTACGTTAATATAATCTCTATTCAATTTACAGCTCTTTGTTGGATATCTAGTATTAATAATGAAAACTAAAGCCTGATCATGAATATAGTGTTATAACTTTCACAATGTCACATGGTATTTATAATTCATTCATTAATTTGGTCTTTATGTTTGTGTGAAGAGACATTTGGTTCTTTTAGAGGAAAAAATTGAACCGTGTCTTACAATTCCCCAATCACATTAGAAGGAACTTCCCAATGAATATGAGACTAAATTATGCTTATTCACCTGCAAATTCTTGATTCCTTATTTAATTTAATATTTTGTAATTTTGAAGTAAACATTTAAGAAGCCATTTCTTTACCAAGTTAACCGTTCATAGATTAATTTTCTCCTCAAGTGCTCTGGGATGTATAACATATGGCCACAGAAAAAAAAGCTCACTTAGGGACAAAAGAGATATATACTATGCATTATTATAATCTGTTAACAAAAACAGTAGGATCATTTTGCTAAGGTATTCATCAGGGGCAGCATATTGAAAATGCTGCCTTGAATTGCATTTCAAGAACATTTCTTAAACTCTTGCAGCTTCTAGATTCATAAGGATATTTACCTGTTATATAAGAATACCTCCTTATTTTACTTTATTAAATAATAATTTTATAAAGACTTTATGAAAGAACCCAAATTTGCTTCTCTTGCTTAAGTCCTAAAAGTAACAGGATATAATTAAACCAACAGAGCCTACACAGATGGTCCGGATGTTTGGGCTTGGTGTGATCAGCATGATCACCCTGGGATGTCTGCCCATTTATTGCTGCTCTCTTTGCCAGAGGAGGTAGGCAAACATAAACTTTTATTCGTGAATTGCTAAGTAAATGTGAATTTTTGTGTATAGGCATATTTATTTAGATGCTTCAGAAATACAGCAATTATGTTTGAGTTCCTTTTGTTTAAAGGAAATAGGTTGGGGAAAAACTTAAAAAAGTAGAGTTAACATGATATTTTTTAAAAAAACATGTTATTTTTCCACAAATTCAAGACATTTTCTTGCATAGGGTCTATTCATTCCCTTGTCCAACAACATAAAGGAAATAATACATTGGCAAGCTGGAGGTATGTGGAATGGGAGTATTAGTTCCCAAAGCACAGTGATTTCTGGAATGGTTTGTAAATTAAGTCATCTGCAATTGGTCTTTAATGGTCATCTACCATTGGATTTCAAAGCCTTGTTCTGTCTTCAATCAAGCAAAACTGTACTAGATTTCCTCTTAGTGTATCATAAGAAATTCCAGTGGGCTACTAGCACAGTGTTTCCAAATTTGTTTATTTTTAATAGCTCCCCACCTACTGGGACAGAGTGGGTATGGAGTATCAGAGCAGAGCCCGGGCTAGGGTAAGAATTATGCAGTATTTAGAGCACAGACATTAATAGGAAACAACTCCTTCTCACGTATGTGCAACTCTTCTCACGTAGAGGCAGTATTGTCATGACCCTGAGAGTAAGTACTTCCTTAAATTCTCAGGAAAATTACATATTGAAGATTAAGCATATTTGATGTTTTTATTCAAGTTAATGAGACAATAGTATCTGCATTCTCAAAAAATTTGGTTAAGATTTCACTGGAAGATTTAGACTACACACCTGTTCCCTTACTTTCCATAAAGATCATCAAGTTTTGGTTACATTACCATAACAGACTATTTTGAATCTACTGTTGGGTCACAGTATTTCAAATTCTCTAGCTTGCATGTGACAATCAATTATTTGTGCAGATTTTGCTTAGCTTCCTACTCTGAGCTGGTAATGGCTATTCCTTGGCCTTTCTCATTTTTTTTCCAAGATAATTGGGTGTAAGAATGGAGTTTTTTTTTTAACCCCTACTTCTCTTCAAAGCTTAGTTTCATATAAAATAGCCCATGATGAAAATGAAATATTTGCTAGAATTTGGTGGTTAGGATTATGCCATATAGTGTATTGGGGAAAATAAGCATGACATACTATTTCATTCCAGTTCCTCTCTTAGTCCTCCACCAATGAATTTTATGAGATATACAAATCTGCAGGATTTTTTTTCTTTGAAATGAAATCCAAAGGATTATCCCCTGATATGAATATATTGTACTTTTTCTATGATATATATATATATATATATATATATATATATATATATATATATATATTTGAGAAACATGAATAGTGAATATGTAAGTGGATTGAACACCATGTGTTTTGCTCTATGTTTTATTTACTTTACTCTTTTGTGTGAGACCAATATGCTATCATCCTAAGCTAGCCCCAGGGCCAGTGGTCACTTTTAGCTTGATATTTAGCTGAGTTTCCAGGAACAATGGTAGAGGGTGGATGGGACACTGTCAGCTTTTCCTGGTAAGCTGATTTTAGAAGCAAGGACAATAATTGTGTGAGAATGGAAATCCCATTCCTGATACCAGGTAAGGAGCTAAATAGATACCAAAGGCTGCTAACTCCCCTTTTGGGGGACAAAATATCACCTTAGAAAGCTCTGATTAACTCACTTTCTGTTCTCCATTTCAAAGAATAAGGAGGTAAACAAACTATTAGAGAAGAAAAAAATAAATGATTCTATAAAAGGGAAATAGATACAGCAGTAAAATCAATATGTAGCAATCTAAGAAGGAAAAGAAAGAAGCCAAATACAGTTGTTTATCTAAATCACTGGAACTAAAAGCCAAATACAGATCTGCAGTAACATGATACTGGCCTTTTCTCTAAGAATCTTTTGCTTTTTCTGCATTGGAAGTTATCCTTATGTTCTTCCTTCTGGGTTCTGTCTTAATACATTAAATACTTGAGAATTCCTTGAGGAATTCTCTCTTAGCCTTCAGTTGCAAGCAAAAACATAGAAGGTTTGACATTCCCCCACTTCTGCAATTTTGATAGTGACTTTTTTTATAGACTACCTAAGGAACTAACATCTGGCAAAGTTGGGGATGTGAACAATTAGAAGTAATCTATTCAAGTAGAAGAAGTGAAAGCAGTTCAGGTGAAAAGGATGATCACTCCCCAGAGCCAAATGTACTTCATTCTTTTGGTGCCTCATTCATGCTTTCCTCAGTTGACTATGATCCATTCAGTATTTACTTGTGCTAGATAGATGGAGGATACAGGAACATCTTATAGGCCCTACTTTTAAGGATCTTAAAATCATCCTAAAACAAATCTCAAATATGACACATTTAATTAACAACATAAAGTAGAATATAATTAAGGAATGAAAAGAGTGCTAGAAATAACTTATAAAAGGTTTGAAGCAGTGGGGAGCAGGGTCAGTGGGAGAGGGCAGGGCAGGTTCCATGGTAGAGGTGCCATTTGAGGTTTTTTTTTTTTTTTAAATTTGCTCTTTTTATATACACAAGACAGTAGAGTATATTTTGACATATTATACATACATAGAGTATAACTTATTATAATTAGGATTCCATTCTTATGGTTGTACATGATGAGTTTTTAAAGGGAGGACAAAGACTCTTTCCATAGAATTCATTACCTACAGATAGATTTGATCTCGTTTCCTTAACTGCTTGTCATTTCTTCCATTTTTCTTTTTCTTTTCTTTTTTTTTTCTTTTGTACTCAGAATTGAATACAGGGATGCTTTACCACTGAGCTGTGTCCCCAGTCTCCCTCCCCCTTTTGAGACAGGGTACATCTAAGTTGCTGAGGCTGGCCTCAAACTTGTGATTCACCTACCTCAGCCTCTCCATTCTCTCAGATTACAGGCATCCACCACTGTTCCCTGCACTGTTTATCATTTCTAAGAAGAGGTGGTTTAACATTTTCCCTGGAATAATCTATAGCTGAATCTCTAATTTACTTTTGCTAGACTTGAACTTAGATGTTGTATGAACCAGGTGCACAAAAAAATTCAAGCTAGCTTGAAATGGTTGCACATGAACAACAAGGGAGGGGAGAGCATAAGTGAAAAACCAGTATTTGCTACAGGTAGTCTTACTAAACTTGCATATTAGATGTGTTTTGAAGTTCATTGCATCCTCAAGGTTATGGAAGATCTATTTTTATCCTCATTAATAGGGATCAGAAGCATCATTAGGTTTAAGTATCATTGATGTGCTTAAGACTTATTTAGAGGAGAAGGAGGGAAAAGATCAAGTTGATGGGGACAAAAGGAAGCATAGGAGGGGGGTTCTAGGGAGAGAGAGGAGGAGGGTAGCTGAATTGTTTGCATTACAGTAATAGAATGCCAGTGATGGTGGCTTCAAGGGCTAAATTTACTTTATAATCTTTTTCTGTTCTTAAAGTTTAAGTCTGTGTTCAACTGCCAGTTAAACAACTGCATATTAAATAGTGATAGGATACTTGAACATTTACATAACTTAGGTAAGATGAGAAAAATATTTATTAAATTCAGATGAAATGCATTTTCATGTTGTTCTTTCTGTGAGATTGAATTTGTAACTCTGAATTATGAAATTTCAGAACTAAATCTAAAAATTGAAAACTATATTTTGCCAACTAAGAAAAAGCCATTTTTATAAGATTGTTGATTATCTGATACACAGGTGATGTAAAAAACATATTCTCTATTATACTTTCAATGTTGCTACTTTCCAGATGGTTGTTATTGAAAATTTTTATGTTTAGACAAATCCTGTTGCATGATTCTCTGTATTATAATATGGTCTTCATTTTGCACATAGTCTTACTGCCACTTATTTTCTTAGAATGGGAGTTAAAGAATTGGGAATAAATGTGTTAAAAATTGCCTAAAATCATCACCCATTGAATTTAACAAAATAGACATTTACATTTTTGAAAGCCCATATTTGTATGTTTTATTATATTGTATAACATAATTAGTAATGTTTTTCTTAATTATTTTAGTTGTAGTTGAACACAATACCTTTCATTTTATTTATTTATTTATTGTGGTGCTGAAGATCAAACCCAGCACCTCGAATATACTAGAGCACTCTGCTGCTGAGCCATAACCCCAGCCCCAGTAAAGCTCTTTTGAAAAGCTTATCCAGTAATTAGCCAACTGCTGGAAAGTTTGAAGTTCCTAGGATTATACATATATTAATTTAGAGAAAGGAAATAAAATCTATAAATTTTAAAAATATGACTATGCTCTAAGTACTTTGATAAAATTATGTCAGATGAGAATGTGAGTGAACTCAAATGCTCTTCTAACGTCACTATAGATTTGAAATATGTATAAAGCCAGTTCTTCTTGGACTCTGTTCAAGCTAATTTAGTTATTAAAATAATAAGAGAACTTTATTATATGTGGATTATATGACTTAGGTATTCCTATGCAAGGTCTCCCAGGGCAGCATTTTAGAGAATTCTGAAACAGAAGGTATTATTGAAAAGAACAGTGTCTTGCCAAGTAACTAAAAACTTTATTGCAGAATGCAGTGGCCTTTTTGCTGAATTCCTGTTCAACTTGACCTTTTTTGTCAAATAATACATCATTGACTGTTCCCTTCTTGAGCTATCCTCCCTTGGAATTCATTATGCCTTACTATTCTGATCCATTTCAGTGTGGTCTTCTTCCCCTTGCAACTGTGGTTGTTTTCCAAATCTTTGCTCTCATTTATAAGAAGATGTAATAGAAAGAACATTTTAAGATCTGTGTTCTAATTCTGCTTTCGCTCCAATTTCATAGATAAGCTGAAACTATTTACATATCGATTTTCTAATAAAACTGGAGAATTGAATTACAGAATTTCCAAGGTCCTTTCCAAATAATCATATTCTGAGATTCTTTGGGTGAATGTCTCTTAAAATCTGAATCCTGAAGTCTTCACTTTTACTTATTCCATATTTCCAGCT